GGCTTGTCCCACCCCTCCTTGAAGGCTTTCCTTTTTCCTTCTTCAAAGGCTGGGACCATGTCGTCTTGGCAGCGGTTGTACAAGTCCTGTAGCGCCTTGTTGGTCCTCTTGGGCTCCCCCACCTTCTTTGCCTCTAGAGCATGCATTTTGGCTGTCAACTCATGCACGAGGGTCTCAGCGTTGACCATCTTGATGTTGATGACAGAAAGCTTAAGCTCGGCCTCCTCCATCCTCTTCGTGGTAGCGGCCTCAGCTTCCTTTGTCTTTTCCAACTTGAAGGTGAGGGCCTCGGCTTTACAAATCAGGTCGACAATGTGTTTAGTTTGGTCACCGACCGTCTTTCCACCCCTTTGTTGTGCTTCTCCTTCTAAGTCAGTTCGTTCTGAAGATTCCTTGTCTCGTGGTTATACTGTCAGAAGCGATCAACGACTGCCACCATCTGCTGGCTAGCCTGGAAATAGGAAAACCTAAGTCAGGAATGGCTAGATAAAAAAGACGAAAAGAAGTCAGAAAGATCGACGCACTTACCAGCATACTATGTTGGATAACATTTTGTAGGAGTCTGTTGTCCCCTTGACCCCCGATAGATGGCCATGTCGACCTCAAGCTGGAGGCTCCCAGAAAGGGCGAAGACGACGTTGGGAGATTGGAGAATGGAGTCAAATTCCATCACTAGGTTCCCCCTCCTAGTCAGGACTCGGGGGGCCCACTCGCGGGGAAGGTTCGGCGCTGGAGTATCATAGCGCTACTTTGTTCGGCGCTCCTCGAAGGGCGATGAGTCTTGGCGGCGGTAGTCCCCTTGCCGCTCCTCCTTCAAGGTACCTTGGCATTTGGGGGTGGCAGAGGCTGGACCCTCGGGGGGATGACTGGATCTCTAGGCAGCGGTAGAGGCAATGATTGAGAGAAAGGGTTGGCCTGGTGTAAGACCAAACTTTCAAGGGTTGGGCAACTTCGCGCCTGTATCTTTCTGCAAAATAAACCACCAAGGTTAGAAATAACAACAAGATGCCCAACAATCTCAGAATATGTGCAATACACACATTCATCCCTCAGCACTTTGGGGTAGTACAATCTGTCATATTTGAACCCATTTCCTTTCTCCCAACTCCCGTTGAGTATGATCAGATCGTCCACATACCCCTTGTTCGAGTCTGGCATGTGGGTCACCAAATATATAGTGGCATCCCGAGCTTGGAGGTAGTACCTACCCCCAGCGACTAGCCTCAAGTCATAGCAGAACAGGATCGGCTATAAGTCGGTTGGTAGCCGAATAGGACGTATGCTGCTTGGGAGAAAGGGTTGGGCAGTGTCGCGCCTGTATCCTTCTACAAAATAAACTGCCAAGGTTAGAAATGACAACAAGATGCCGAAAAATCTCAGAATATGTGCAATACACACATATATCTCTCGGCACTTTGGGGCAATACAATCTGTCATATTTGGACTCATTTCCTTTCTCCTAACTCCCGTTGAGCATGATCAAATCGTCCACATACCCCTTGTCCAAGTCTGGCATATGGGTCACCATATATATAGTGGCATCCTAAGCCTGGAGGTAGTACGTACCCACAGTGACTAGCCTCAAGTTGTAGTAGAACAAGATTTCATCTACCCCCAGGTTCACCCCAAACCAAGCATTCAGGGCAACCACGCCTATGACCAATCTGAAGAAGTTGACGCCACATTGAAGGGAAAAAAGCCTCAAGTGCATCATCATCCTCATAAGGAAGGAATGGAGAGGAAAGGTCACCCCTTTTCCATGATGGCTTTGGTCCAGAAGGGCATCATATCTACATTCCCGATGTCCCTTCTATGGTAACGAGGGTTAAAAGGGAAGGTGAAAATGGGCTCGGGGGATGTGGTACCTATCCCTAAAAGCTTGGATGTTGTCCTCATTCACCTTTGTTCTTCTCAACCTACGATTACCCCCAGCCCTGACGGGTTCCCTCATCACCGTCCTACATGTTCTAGCTATGGATGAAGCCTAAAGGAAATGTAGAAGGATGGTAGCATGAAGAAGAAGATCGAAAGGGAAGAAGTACTTACAGAGTGGAAATCTTCAAAGGATGAGTGCTCGAGAAGAAAAGGAAGAGTGCTCAGGAGATCATAGAAGAATGCTTGGGGGTTAATCGCTGGAAGAGAATTCAAAGATACAAAGTTCTTGAATAACTGAAGGACCCTATATTTATACCATGCTAAGGGGGGCGGGAATCAAAAAGGTGTGTCATCATTAGGAAATTTGAAAAAGTCGGCACCAGATGTGCAAATAGCCACCCCTACTAATTAGGCATGTTCAGTAAGCCACCACTTTCCTTCTGTTACCTATCCTACTCCGTAAAGAATTGGAGGTTGAGGGGCAGTTGACAGGACTCCAGGCGACCTGGCAGCCTCCAAAGTGACACGTATGAAGATATAGCCGTTATGAAACTCAAAAGGTGCCAAGGAGTAATGGCTCAGAGGAGCCGAGTACACAAATTGACCCTCATTTAATACGATTCGACTACACATTTATGGCAATGTGAGTGATTGAGACAGGCCTATTAATGAGTGTCTGCGTCCTCAAGACCTAAGCCTACAGTCATGATTGCTAGGCATTAATGGCTATTACGCCGAGTATACCTCTTCGATGTGCCTTAGGATACTGTTCCCCGACCATTGAACGCTCGGGAGTAGGTGTCAGGCACCGATTAAAGGAATTTGAGTTCTCGAGGATAGCCATAAGTTCTCAGCATGGCCCCGAGCACTTGTCCTATCATCTGAGCAATAAAAATACGAAGATTTGAGTGGAGAACACTCATTGCGCATGGGTAAGAGTGTTTGACATTAAATGTTGAGATGAGACTTTAAGCCTTTGCACTCATTGCTAACCCAGGTATAAATACTCCTCAGAAAAATAAAAAAAGGTACGCAAAACAAAACTAAGATAAAGAATACACTGTGCTCAAGGTCTCCCATCTTGTACTGACTTAAATTTCGGAAGAGACAAACCGGGTGTTCACCTGACCCCTTTTTTGACTTTATGGTTATTTTGGATTCATCACACAAGCGATCGTTACCTCAATCTATTACAAGAAATCTCCTTTACAGTAGATATATTCAATGGAGATTAATTATCGAGTATAAAAGTTATGGTATACGTGAAGCCGTAAAAGTTAAATTCACGGATCAAAAGTTACAACAGTTGTAAAGTTAACCGAANAGAGATTAATTATCGAGTATAAAAGTTATGGTATACGTGAAGCCGTAAAAGTTAAATTCACGGATCAAAAGTTACAACAGTTGTAAAGTTAACCGAACCATTGAATTAGATACAGAAGGGCAGTGATTGTGATGGAAATGAAGGGGCGTAAACAATTGTGGTCCATCAGATATTTTTGTAGGTTGTTGCACTAAAGAGAAATAATCTATTGTTTTTTAAAGGTGTATTAATTTCAGTAGATATGATCCTATATTTTTAAGAGTGGCAACATCTAAGGATGAAATTGGTATTAAAGAATTAATTAAGGGTAAAAGAGAGAGTAGAATTCGAAAATTTCATGACATGTCTCCACACCATAAGAAGGTCAAGTGACAGAAATTATCAGTTGATATGGGTGCGAAAGGTCCAATATCACATATGAGTCTGTCTACTGCTTGGTAGGGGGACTTTACTCAATTCAATTGTATCCTTATTTATACCAGGGTATGCGCATTTACATAGAGTTTGATATTTAAAAAAAAAAAAAAAAAGTGTCATTAGCTTGCAATTTTTCATACTGAATCTCTAGAGCACATTTTTTTAAATAGTTGTCTTGATTCAAATATAACTTTATTGAATTTCTATCTCGAGAAAATCCAATTCCTAATACTTAATTGTCTCTCCTATTTTCTTTATTTCAAATTTGGATTCGAGGTATCGTTAATTTTTATCATGATGTTCGGACGGTTATCTACCAACACCATATCATCTACCCAGAGTGATAAAGTAGCTGGTTTGCCATGGCATATCCACTTATATATGCACAATATTCTAGAAAGGGAATGAGACTAGAAAGTCCAAACTGAGGCCAATGGGGAATGCTTATTGTTACCAAAGCTGTTCCGCCCGTCACTTTTCAAGGATGGATTTCGCTTCAGCATCCTTGAAGAAACCAAGTTTGTTGTTATGTAGATGATAGTTGGCCTACACAAAGGGAAGCACTTCACTTGCTAAAAGATGAGATTCGTTTACTTGTATTTCTGCNAGATGATAGTTGGCCTACACAAAGGGAAGCACTTCACTTGCTAAAAGATGAGATTCGTTTACTTGTATTTCTGCTAACTCTATAAAAAGCTCTGGTCCTTAATGCCTCTATTACCATTGTGCAGCCTTTCCTAAGATCCATAAGTCGAGTTTCCCATTTACCCACAACGGCGGAGTTGCCCCAACCAAGTAAGCGGCCACGGGTCATAACTCTATTTTTGCACAATAAATTAAATTTGAAGTTGACTTATTTACTTGGCCAATCATTAGAACAATCATTAGAATGTGTATGAGATACTAAAACATAAGGGTCCAAAATCTTAATAACACCTTTGTCTAAAGCTTCAAATGAGACTTCATATTCAAAACACCGAAATAATCTGATTAGAAAGTCATTCAAAACTTAATTGAAAAACCAACGTCTCATTTTATGGTAGTATGAAGGGGGAATTGGCGTAGTTCATAAATCAACTNCCGAAATAATCTGATTAGAAAGTCATTCAAAACTTAATTGAAAAACCAACGTCTCATTTTATGGTAGTATGAAGGGGGAATTGGCGTAGTTCATAAATCAACTCACTTTTTTGCTACAAAATTATGCATATCAAAAGTAGCAGCAACACAAATAACCAAAAAAAAAAAGCATTTGCTTGTGATAAGAAAGCATAAAAAGCTTCAAGTATGAATCAATTTAGCTACAAACTCATCGATGTTTCTGTCTGAGCTTCNACCAAAAAAAAAAGCATTTGCTTGTGATAAGAAATCATAAAAAGCTTCTTCAAGTATGAATCAATTTAGCTACAAACTCATCGATGTTTCTGTCTGAGCTTCCGCCCACATCAACTGCCTCTCTTGCCAATTCCTTCCATTTCGTGGCATTTCTTCTAATCTCTTCTCCCCTCTCACTCTCCATAACTTCCCGGATCGATCGCTCAATCGCTTGTCCTCTGACTATTCCCTTCTCATCATGTAGAGGCCTTACTCCAACCTTCCACACATCCTTTACATATTTTGCATTGGTGGTTTGGTCCGTCCATATCGGCATTGCCACCATCGGCACTCCCAAGCTCAATGCCTCCAATGTCGAATTCCACCCACAATGTGTAACAAAGCACCCTATTGCCTGGTGCTGCAAAACTTCCAACTGAGGGCACCATGACACCATCAACCCCTTCTCAGATGTCTCCTCTACAAAGTGTTTCGGAAGCTTAGCCGCCTCCGATTCTCTGACCACCCACAAGAAGAAGAAATTGCTCCCCCTCAAACCCCATGCCAGTTCTTGTGTTTGCTCAATTCCAAGCTCTGCCATACTCCCAAATGACACGTAAATAACTGACCCTTTTTGTCTCTCATTCAGCCATTCAATGCAAGCACCAGTGTTTGGCTTAAATAACGAGAGACCATAATCTTTGTCATCTGTAAGTCGCCTGTCCAAAGACATTGATGGAATAGTTGGTCCGATTGTCCTCAAACGGCAATGCTTTGCCATCCAATCAACCACCTACACAGTATTGCATAATAGCAGTGAGTTACAATTCTATCAAACACGTAATGAAAAAAAGTAGCTCAGTACACAAGTCCCACTAGAGTTTGCAAAAGTACCAACCTCTTCCTCTAACTTGTGAAAGGTGTTGTATAGGACCCAATCTGCTCTATCAATGTTTGAGAGTTGGTTCACAACCAGTTTCATGACAGGTGGGTATGATCCAGGAACACAAATAAAAGACGGCAGGTCGGAAACTTCGAGGGGTGGTAGTCCCGGGACCGAAATTTTTGTCCCCGGACCATGAAATTTTAACTGCCCTTGGTACACATGGTAGTATATGTTGTCAACCGCGCAAGATTGGGTGAAGAAGGCAGCCCCAACTAGTCCACATTTTTTGGCTACATCAAGGACCCAAGGTATGAACGCATCGTAAACAATACAATCAACAGGGCAGCCTAATGCACGAAGTTTTTCAACAAGCTCGACCAAGGTTTTCGAGCCAACTTGTTCAAACTTTGTCAAGTAGACGTAACTGTTTTCTGCTTGCTTCCGCCCGCCCTCATCGAAGCCATCGGAGATCGTCTCGACTACGATGGAACCGGATTCTTTGTGCATGGTCTTGAACATGAAACGTGTAGTGGCTAGTGTGACTTTGACTCCTTTATGTTCTAAACGCTTTGAGAACTGGAGCATTGGGTTTATGTGGCCTTGGAGTGGGAATGGTAAGACCAAACAGTGAGCTTTGTGAGGGCTCATTTCCTCCATTTTTTGGCCTCTCAATTCTGAGCTCTTTTTAGGTAGTATCTATACCATCAAAAACAAAGTTTGTTTTTTTTTTTTTTTTTTTGCATAAGATTGTTGTGGTTTTAGTTTTGTTGTATAATAGAACTTGGATTGTCTTGTAATACAAAGAATGCTATAAATGAAAAATTACATTTTAACCTCCTTAGCTACGATCCCTTTTTTCACATTTTTCACTTAACTATCATATTTTTCATATTACGCCCTCAATTACATGATTAGTTTCACATTGTCTTAATCATTAACGTCCGTTACAAATATGATAAAAAGTTGATTCAATTTTTCCTCCAAACTATGGGATTTTTTTTTTATTTTGCCTCGGCACGTTAACAATTTTTGTCCAAAATATAGCAAAGGTTTGTAATTGGGTTGACGTAAAATAGTTCATGAAATTAAGGGAGTAATGTGAAAAATTTAATAATTCAAGAAAAAAAGTGAAATAGAGTCGTTAGTTAAAGGGGTCAAAATATAATTTTCGTTACTATAAAACATAAATCATCAAATGGAGAAAAGACTTGAGTTATGATGCATAAAGTACTGCAGATGAAGAGGGCAACTGGTTGCAGTTAAAATGGCTGATAATGAGGAGAAGCTGTGGTTCGGGATTTTCGATCTCTATGTCCACAAATTGTTTCTCCAGCTTGGAGGTAGGATCCAATGGAAGGGGTCAACAGAGCATTGAAAATTTGAAGTGCTAGAGGCCTCTTTCCTGCAAGACTTTCAATTATTATGGTTGTTATTTATTCTATTTCCATTGTATGAGTGAAGTTAGGTGGGGCTGTCAATGGATAGTGTTTCAGTCATATTTATGTCAAAATCTATTCAATTAATTTTATTTCCGACATATTTATAACTATGAATAATCAAGTTTGTATCATCTATAGGTTGTATAAATTATGTTTAATAATTTCGTGTCGTGTTTAGTGAACTTTATATCCTAGCATTTGTTTAACGAATCTAACGAACTCTCTCGTTTATTACCTGAACTCATTAAGATCAAATCCAAAGATTCTAATCCGTATCAATTTTGTGTTGGTTTCGCGATTCATGTGTAGAATTGTCAGGCTTAGGCAAAGTATTATGTCCCTCCTCTCTATTACTTCCTAAATGAATAAATTCGGCCCTTGCTCTGTCTAATTTTAATTAAAAAAAAATATTCCTATAGACAGAAGCGAGTCAAAAAATTAGTTTAGAATGGACACATTAATAAGTTTTAATTTTTTTTTTCAATTGACTATAGAAGTTCAAAAATACATATTTATTGAAATCATATTCAATACTTNATGTATTTGGTTTTTGTAGTAGATAAAAACAACGGTAGATTGTAGGGTCATCATTCAACTTAGAGTATTGCCAAAAAGAGTAAAAACATAACCTGTCAAAGATCTTATCTTATTCAGATCGGCCGCATAATCTGAATCAACATAAACAACAATAGTAAAATTGAATCTATCTCTTTTACGAAAGACTAAGCTAATATTTGCAGTGCTTCTCAAATAATGAAGTATTCATTTCATAGCTTGCCAATGAATCTTCCTGAGATTAGCTATGTAAAAATTAACCATACTAACTGCCTACAAAATATCTAGACGAGTGCAAATCATAGCATACATGATATTCTCAACTGCCCTGGAATAAAGAACACGAGATATAAATTACTCCTTATTCTCAGTCTATGATGAGAAAGCTGTTGAAAGCATAAATTAGCGGCAAGTGGAGTACTCACAAGCATCGAATTCTACATACTAAATTGGTCAATAACTTTATCAATATATTTGTTTTGAGATAAATACAACATACATGCTTTCTTATCCTTGTGGATCTCCATACCCAAAATTTTATTTGCAACACTCAAATTTTTAACCAGACTGTTTCTTTAACCTATTAATCTCTAACATGCTTTTAGTAGTAATAAACATGTCATTCACATAAAGCAACAAATATATAAAAGAACCATTTGACAACTTCCTATGATACACACAACTATCGTAATTACTCTTAGAGTAACCATGATCAACAATAAAGATGTCAAAATGTTTGTACCACTTTCTAAGAGACTATTTCAAACAATATAATGATTTCTTCCACAAGCAAACATTTTTTTCTTTACCTTGAATAATAAATCTCTCTAGTTGATGCATGTAGATAGTTTTCTAAAGCTCACCATGTAGAAATTATGTCCTTACATCAAGTTGCTAAAGCTCTAGACTGAATGATGAAACCAGGACAAACCATACACGAAAAGCGTTATGTTTCACAACAAGCGAGAAAACTGAATTGAAGTCCACACTCTTTCTCTGACTATATCCCTTTGGAACTAATAATGCCTTGTATCCAGTAGATTCAACCCCTGAGAATCCTTCATTTTCCTTGAAGACCCATTTGCAACCAACAACCTTCATGCCTTTAGACAACTTCACTAATTTACAAGTCTAGTTCTTATGAAGAAATTAAATTTCTCCAGTGTCATAGCAACGACCCAAAGTGCAGACTCACTACCTATGATAGCTTTTGGATATGTGGAAGATTTTTGACCTCCAATCTCATCTTCTATAGTAAGTGCATAAGCCCCCAAAGAGAGAAAAAAGAAGAGTAGAATACATGTCATGGTGAGAAATTCTAGATATTGAGACAATTAAATTTTTTTCTTGCATATGAGAAATTATAGTGCAATTGAATAGAGGACCAACCAACTTAGGAAGTAGGAAGAATTTAGCTATGAATTAAGAGCATTGATATGCTTACCAAATTATTTCTTAAATTTTATATATCAAATCAATGTAGATGGTTGGATTAATGGATCCCACCCACTCTTACTAAACATTCAATGAATAAGATTTTGCCACATCATTTGATATACAACATTTGGGATTCATAGCTTTATTAATGAATTAATTAAAGAGGGAGAAGTCATGAACCAATGTAGTATAGCAATAGTTGCTTACTAGGAAGTAGGGCCAACCAAATGCAAATTGAGGTCTAAAGGAAACTTTTATACAAGGTCCTATAATTGTTTTGTATACCTACAACAAGGTTTGTCAATCCATAATCTGATCCAATTAAAATAAATTAATGGGGCTTAAGGAGGCCGGTCCTTTTTTGTAGACTTATTTGGGTTTAAGTACACTCAAAAAACTTATTTGGGGATAAGTCCATTTTGATCTAAATTGTCCAAAATAACCTCAATGGTTATATTTAGTCAAAATTTGTTTGAAAATACTAACAACCCCTGAATTGAGAATTGTATTAGTATTAACAACTCAAATCTTAGAAATTGTGCTAGCATTAAAATTATGTTACTATTTTTTTTGTTGAGTATGTTACTGTTTTGATGTTACTATTTTTTCGTTAAGTGTGTTACTGTTTGATGTTACTATTTTTTTATTGAGCATGTTACTATTTGATGTTACTATTTTTTTTGTTGAGTGTGTTACTGTTTGATGTTACTAATTTTTTTGTTGAGTGTNATCGGCCGCATAATCTGAATCAACATAAACAACAATAGTAAAATTGAATCTATCTCTTTTACGAAAGACTAAGCTAATATTTGCAGTGCTTCTCAAATAATGAAGTATTCATTTCATAGCTTGCCAATGAATCTTCCTGAGATTAGCTATGTAAAAATTAACCATACTAACTGCCTACAAAATATCTAGACGAGTGCAAATCATAGCATACATGATATTCTCAACTGTCCTGGAATAAAGAACACGAGATATAAATTACTCCTTATTCTCAGTCTATGATGAGAAAGCTGTTGAAAGCATAAATTAGCGGCAAGTGGAGTACTCACAAGCATAAAATTCTACATACTAAATTGGTCAATAACTTTATCAATATATTTGTTTTGAGATAAATACAACATACATGCTTTCTTATCCTTGTGGATCTCCATACCCAAAATTTTATTTGCAACACTCAAATTTTTAACCAGACTGTTTCTTTAACCTATTAATCTCTAACATGCTTTTAGTAGTAATAAACATGTCATTCACATAAAGCAACAAATATATAAAAGAACCATTTGACAACTTCCTATGATACACAGAACTATCGTAATTACTCTTAGAGTAACCATGATCAACAATAAAGATGTCAAAATGTTTGTACCACTTTCTAAGAGACTATTTCAAACAATATAATGATTTCTTCCACAAGCAAACATTTTTTTCTTTACCTTGAATAATAAATCTCTCTAGTTGATGCATGTAGATAGTTTTCTAAAGCTCACCATGTAGAAATTATGTCCTTACATCAAGTTGCTAAAGCTCTAGACTGAATGATGAAACCAGGACAAACCATACACGAAAAGCGTTATGTTTCACAACAAGCGAGAAAACTGAATTGAAGTCCACACTCTTTCTCTGACTATATCCCTTTGGAACTAATAATGCCTTGTATCCAGTAGATTCAACCCCTGAGAATCCTTCATTTTCCTTGAAGACCCATTTGCAACCAACAACCTTCATGCCTTTAGACAACTTCACTAATTTACAAGTCTAGTTCTTATGAAGAAATTAAATTTCTCCAGTGTCATAGCAACGACCCAAAGTGCAGACTCACTACCTATGATAGCTTTTGGATATGTGGAAGATTTTTGACCTCCAATCTCATCTTCTATTGTAAGTGCATAAGCCCCCAAAGAGAGAAAAAAGAAGAGTAGAATACATGTCATGGTGAGAAATTCTAGATATTGAGACAATTAATTTTTTTTCTTGCATATGAGAAATTATAGTGCAATTGAATAGAGGACCAACCAACTTAGGAAGTAGGAAGAATTTAGCTATGAATTAAGAGCATTGATATGCTTACCA